CCAGTCGCTGAAGAAGGATATCATATTTGGTAAGGTGGAGGGTCAGAGAAAAAGAGGAAGACCCCCAACGAGATGGATTGGCCAAGTGGCAGCATCAGTGGACTCAAGAGTGGCAACAATTGTGAGGTTGGTCTAGCATTGGTCAGTGTTTCAGTCTATGTGTATAGAGTCACTTTGAGTCGGTACTGACTCAGTGGCAACTAACAACAACAACATAACATGTGTATAAAGTTATTTCTTTTTAATGCCAGATCAGAATCTTCTTGGGAGATAGCATTCATAAGACAAAAATCTGATGGCAGTCATCCAGAAAATCCACCACATACATCCATTTTACAAACTCCAGGAGAATATGGACCCCAGGCCTCAACTTTTAGTCTTCTTTCTTGTGCTCCTGACATACTAACTCTAAAGACTTCATCTACTCCCAAAGCATTAGAGTCCTATTCACCTGCTTTGAAGACAAGTCAGGTAAGCCTTAAGTTTGTCTGTTCATTGAAGCTGTTCATAAACCTTCTATATGGTCTTATGTTTCTTAAATACATATATTATTATAATTTTTGTAATACAATTTGTTAGCAAATCAGCATTTCTTACAAAGTTGTTTTTTGTTTGTTTGTTTGTTTTTTTAATGTTATTTTATGCTGTGCTGTCAATTTTTTCCAAGTCTGTGTGCCCTGCATCCAGAGACTCCTGATCAATTAGAAAATCACAACATGGCACAAAGGATATCCCTAGCTATCACTCACAGGTACCTACGGAACATCAGATTTAGAGTCAGACAGTCCCTAATATAGTTCCATTTATTAGCATTTCTGTTTCCTGATAGAATGAAATCTGGCAAATAATCTTTTTTTTTTTGTCACTTAACTTCCTTACACACAATGAGTCTAACGCGACTCATCTAGTCTTTATTTATATTGTTTCCTTTATATTGTGTGCTAGAATATAATTCATTCTATTAGAAGGGCAGAAATGGGGAATTTCTAGAACAAAATTTATAGAATTAATTATTAACTGCTACAGTGCGCCAACAAATCGGCATAATAAAATAGAGCATACACTCATGGAATCTGTGTTAACTATAAAGGGAAATAAGGAATCTAGGTAGGCTTTCAATCAGTGGAATATAGTTTACCAAAGGTAAATGTAGTTTCAGCTACATGCTGGTTGGAGACAGCATGTAAGATTTTCAATCAACTCCTGATAATATGTCATCTGCAATCATAAGACCTTTCAAAAGCTTAGGTGTGTGGCTTTAGATTTTGTTGTCTTTGGACATGGTGGAGATGAAAGCAGTTTTTACCTTGATTTCACAATTGCTTTGTTTAAAGATGACTAGACCAAAATTTTAGAGGTTTCATGTTTTTTTGGAATATTGCTTTAATCGCTTCAACTACTCTTTTTATGTTAACATGAGCTTCCAGTCTGGTCTTTGACCTACTTTCGAAAATGATATTTCCTGTTCCTCATTTTCTTTCATAGATAAAAACTGGATACAAGAAAACAGAACAGACTCCAATTACTTCTTCAGATGACAGCCCTACGGATATGTCTAATACAGGTAAATGCACATTTAATACCTTTTTCCTGTTATTTTTTTCAATTACTCTCTCTCAATGAGGAGTACATAATGTGACTTAATAGACTTTACAGAAGGGTGCATTTTCCCTTTTTGCCTTCAATGAATAAAAGAGCAAAATGAATGTGTTGTCCAGTGGTCCCTTTTTAGATTATAACTTTAATTTCCCTGAACAAAGAGTTGAAATTTTAAGAGATGCATTACCATAACAGTATATATCAGGCTGTAATAGTCAATGAGCTGTGGAAAGCAAATAATGAAAACTCTTTTATAAATCAAGATTAAGGTGCCTTGTTCTTTCAGTGAAATATTGGAGAGGCTTATTAAATGTGCCTTTAAGAGAACCTATTATAGAAAGTTACATATTTTAAGCAAAGAAATAGCCTTTGTTTTTTGAAGAGATTGTGTAGATATAAATTAGAAAGGAAATCCATCTTGTGAATTCATTATTATTGGATCTTAACTATCATGAAATGGTTTACTGGCATATTAAAACAATAAAGAATTAGTTGCCTAAGCTACTTTAAAAACCATTTGGATTCCATGTCTGACTTCCTCTGGCTTCACAAGGGGGAAGAGAATCAAACTGAGCATCAACTCAAGGCCGATTCCTATGAAGCAGAGGTCAGACATGCCTCCATCTTACAACCTTTACTCAATTCCAACACCAATCATCCCTCCAGCAGCACTTGGCTTCACATCTGGGTTCAATCATCCATTGCAATAGCCATGCAGAACTCATAATAATGCTCGTGATTATGTTGTTTATTAGGGAAGTGAACAGTGTATAATTTAGGATCAGAAACAACTCAGGATGCTGCAATTCTCCAGTCAGGAATACCTCTTGTCTGCCCTACTGCAGGCACACCTCACTCTTGTCTTCGGCCTCTCAGCCATGTGGCCCTGCAGCCTCTGCCCTGTCCAGGCAAGTCTTTCCAAGCCCCTTTGAAAGTCCAAAGGGCACATTCTGCGAGCCAGCCTCCTGCCCAGAGGCTCACGGCTTTACTCAATCCAAGGCCTAGATGCCTGCAGCTGCTCCACATCACTGCTTCTGCCACCACCTCTGTTGTCGTCACTTTTCTTGCTAGGGATTTCACACTCCACTCATGTTCTTCTCCCTCCATGGTCCTGGGATGCCTCCTTTTAAACCTTGTTGTTGTTGTTAAGTGCCGTTGAGTCAATTCCAACCCATAGCGACCCTGTATAGGGTTTCCAAGGAGCAGCTGGTGAGCTTGAACCACTGACTTTGCAGTTCAAATGACTTTGCAGTCTGACGCATTAGCCCACAGCGCCAATGCAAAACTAACCAATCACAGCCTTAGAGTCCTGTACACTTTATTTGCATGGCCCCACCCAATCAGTTGATGGGAATTAAGAAAACACTAGAAAAGCCATTTAAACTAAATTCAGAATACCACAACTACACATAAAAACATGGTTTTTATCAAGCTTTCAATAAGCACTGAGTTATGAACCACAAGGTCCACAGTTCAAGCCCTCCAGCCTTTCCACTGGAGAAAAATGACATTTGCTGCTCCCTCAAAAGTATAAATCCGTATAAACCCTATACAGGGTTGCTATGAATTGGAACTAACCTGACACCACTAACAACAACAAGAAAATACCTTCATTGGTCCAAGTATCAAGAAGAAGAAACCTGTAAAAATTATCTCCAAAACTTAAATATAACAACAAATCTATACGTACTTATATTTGTTATCATTAAGTGCCGTTGAGTTGGTTCCAACTCATAGCAACCCTGTACTGGGATTTCCAAGAAGCAGCTGATGAGCTTGAACTGCTTACCTTTGTGGTTCAAACTGACTTTGCAGTCTAATGCATTGACCTGCAGCACCACACCAGGACTCTCCTATAAAGATTACAGCCTAGAAAACCTCACAGGGCATTTCTACTCTTCACACGGGGTTGTTATGAGTCCATAGCAGTTAACAACAAGGACCCTATAAGATATGTCTGATTAGAGCAAAGGGATCCTATGATGAGATCATGAGTAAACTGAAAAAATTACACTTTACTCAATTTAGACTTTATTACAAATAATTAAATGAAAATAATTTCAAGTGACCATAAGAGCTCTGGTAGCGTCGTGGTTACGAATCGGGCTGCGAACCTCAGGGTCAGTAGTTCGAAACTACTAGCTGTTTCGCAGGAGAAAGATGAGGCTTTCTGCTCCCGTAAAGATTTACAGCCTTGGAAACCCTGTACAGGGTTGCTATGAGTGGAAACCGACTCCACAGCACATAACAACAACAACATATATAAATTAAACAATAAAGCTAAAAGGGTACGTTTTTCTAGAGTAGAGATGGTATTGACTCAATTTCTCACTTCCACAGAACATACTAGACAGATACTTTGGGATGGGTGGGAGAGGAAGCAGAGTCCAATCTAAATTAGCTCTAGGTGACATATTTGTTATAAGTAGTAGTTGTTGTTGTTGTTGTTAAGTTCTGTCGAGTTGGTTCCAACTATGAGTTGTATTGAATTTCCAAGGAGTGGCTGGTAAGTTTGAACTGCTGACCTTGTGGCTCAAACCGATCTTGCTATCCAGTGTATTCCACAGTGCCACACCAGGACTCATATAAGTACCTAATTACAGATTGTTTTACAAATCACTAACTATTACTTGCAGACTTCTTCAGCCAATTTGTTTTTATTCAGGAAGTACAAACTTTTAATGTTAACCTAAAAAAATGTTAAACCCATCCCCGTTTCCATCCCTAAATTTCTCTACATATGAACTGGTTAGAGTTTTTATAAGTACATGTGGTAGTGGTGGTGGTGGTGGTGGTGTGCCATATGGAGTAGGTTCTGACTCATAGCAACCCTGTATAGGGCTTTCGAGGCTGTAAGTATTTATGGGAGCAGAAAGCCTTGTCTTTCTCCTGAGGAATCTCTGGTAGTTTCGAACTGCTGACCTTGCAGTTAGCAGTCCAACTGGAATAGTACTTGAATATGTTTATAAAAACTATCCTATTACATAAATACCTGTTTTCCAAATCCAATCATTTACTATTGCTGTAAGTTGAGTAAAACATGCGTTTTTGAATGAGCTAGAAGACATTCCTGAGGAAATCAATAATGAAATATTGTATGAATAAATAGTATCATTAATTTAAACAAAACCTAGTTCCCCTGCACAAAGTCTTTGAAACAAAGTAGTGATGGGAGGACTGTCCATTGAGGTTTCATGATATCAGTTAACTAGTATTAGTCCATCTGTCTGAAACAGCCCCTTGTGTCTTCCCTAACAGAGAAGAAGCAGGAGAACCATATGAACATAAGCCCTACTTTGAGAAGTCTCATTCCCAGATACAAGCAAATAAAGAGTTTGAGCCTGGGATAAAGATATGTCATTGACAAATGAGGAAAACCGTGTAGGAGGGCCTTTTTGGGTCAAGCTACTCTGAATTGCTAAAGCATGCTGGATTTATTTAAGTCCTTCTTAAGATTGTGTCTCGAAGGAAAAGTGTAGGGGAGACTTGGCTGGAAGAAAGAATGATTTTGTTAAGGGATGACGGCTTATTGTTAAATGGGAATGTAGTGAGTTTGCATTAAATTTCCCATTTAATTACACTGTCTGTTTACACTAACAATACTCTGATTTTACTAACACAGAGTAAATAATTGCACTAACAATACTCTATTTTCAAAGTAGTTTCCTATTGGTTTTACCTTTCCAGCACCTGTGAGATGTTTTGTTTTATTCTGTGTAGTTTGCAGATGAGAAAACTGATGATAAAAGATGTTGTCACATTTAGCAACAAGAGATTCACAATTATAAGAGATTATAAGTCCTTGGTAGCTGTGTGACCTTGGGCTACCTCTGTGTCTTTGTTGTAGGAATATGTTTTAGTCTGCTAGGGCTGCCATAACAAAATGTCACAATGTGGATGACTTTAAAGACAGAAACGTAAAAACGTGAGAACACGTGAAAACTGTGAGGACATTTCTCACAGTTCTAGAGGTTAGAAGTCTAAGTTCAAGCTTCTCTAGCTCCAGGTGTTTCTTGGAGTTCCTTAGATGATAGAAGGATTATCTCAAGCTGTCTCCTCCGGTCTGTGACTGTTTTCACATCTGTACTTCACTTTTATAAAATACAGCTTCTAAAACCCTAAACAGAGGTGACTAGATTAGAACCCACTGTCCTCGGGTATGACTCCCTTAATTTAACTGATGACATCTGCAAAGTAATACCCTTGTCCCCCAAACAAGATCACATTCACCTGTGTAGGCATTAGTACTTCAGCGCTGTGGTAGCGTGGTGGCTACAAATCGGGCTACTAACCTCAAGGTCGGCAGCTCGAAACTACCAGCAGTTCCACGGGAGAAAGATGAGGCGTTCTGCTCCCGTAAAGATTTATAGCCTCGGAAACCCTGTGCAGGGTCGCTATGGGTCGGAACCGACTCCACGGTACTTAACAAACAACAAGAACGTACCTTCTTGAGGGACACAATTCATAATAGAATAAAAACACCAGTGACATTGTGGTTATTATGAACATTAACAGACTAGTATATGTAAAATCCTCAGTATACAACCTAACTAGAAGTAAACATAAATGAACTCATCTTGTTATTTCCAACGTAGCACACACATTTTCCTGCTTGGATATAGAAAAAGGTAAGTGAGAACATGTGTGTGTATATATTATGTGTGCCTTCCCCATTTTGTTTTCATCCCCTTCCCTAAGCAGCCACACTCTTACTCTTGATTGAGTAATTCATGCCCCAGCAAGGTCCTATTTTGAGGCCAAATCTAAGTCAGCGTGGGTTCGCCTAGTATTGCTGTTGTTAGGTGCCTCCAAGTAGGCTCCTACTCAACAACTCACAACACCACAGGACAAACGCTGCCTCCTCCTGGGGCCTCCTCATAATTACTGTTATGCTTGAGCCCATTGCTTCTGCCACTGTGCCAATCCATCTCATTGGGGGCCTTTCTCTTTGTCACTGACCCTCCACTTTACCAAGAGAAGTCCTTTTCCAGGGACCGGTCCCTCCTGATAACCTGTCCGAAATACATGATATAATGTCTCACTGCCCTCGCTTCTGAGGAGCATCCTTACTACACTTCTTCCAAGACAGACTTGTTTGTTCTTCTGGTAGCCCATGGTACTTTTAATATTCTTTATCAACACTGTAATTCATAGATTCTTCTACGGCCTTCCTTATCCTTTGTCCAGCTTCACATGCCTATATTGAGTTGAGTTGGTTCCAACTCATAGCAACCCTGTAGAGGGTTTATAAGGAGCAGCTAGTGAGTTTGAACCACTGATTTTGCAGTGCAAACCAACCTTGGGGTCAAGTGCTTATCCTACACCACCACCTGAGGTGATTGAAAATACCATAGCCTGGGTCAGGCACACCTTAGTCCTCAAAGTGACATCTTTGTTCTTTAACAAAAGAGGTCTTTTGCAGCAGATTTGCCTAGTACAGTATGTCATTTGATGTCTTCACTGCTGTTAGTGTTAGTGGTCTTAATTACACGTCAAGCACTAATATGGAGTCCTGGTGTGGCGCTGTGTGTGGGTTAATGCACTGGACTCCAAGGTCAGTTTGAACTGCAAGGTCGGAGGTTCAAGCTCACTAGCTGCTCCTTAGAAACCCTATACTGGGTCACTATGAGTTGGAACAGACTCAACAGCACTTAACAACAACCAAGCTGGGAGTCAGTGTGAAATTTTAGCTGCAGGCTTAAAAATAAAGTCTGACTTACTGAATGTTTGGACTTCCATACCATCCCACCCCATTGTTGATCTCTTATGCCACTCTTGAGATTTGGCAGAGAATTTTTCATAAAAGGAAAAAAATTGCATATATTTTTATCCCATGGCCAAGGAACCTCAAAAGTTTGTGGAAAATGGGATTAAAAGATAATATAATTTTTTCTGTGAACTTTTTGAAGCCCCCTCAGAGTTATCATAATAACAAAGGAAATTTTGTTGCTTTTATCAAAATTGTAAAAATTCTTTCACACTAAAAATCAGTCTGTCTCATATCAACTCAAGGTTCAATTCTATTTGAAACTAAAAGTCAGCAACCATTTTTTTTTTAATTTTTTATGATCTTGACACCTATAAGCTATATTCAAGATTTTACATAGAATGTTAAAGATGTGTTAAAGGTTTAGAGGAAGATCGTTTATTTTCATATGCGCTTCTTATGTTCTTAAGAAATAGAATGCAAATCATTTTGTACTTAGAGACAGATGCTCTGAGAAATTTTTAAAAATTAAAACACTGCATAAAGATGTGACATTTTAAAAAGTTTTTTCTCTTCCTCTTATTTCTCTGTAGAACTAGTAAAGTTGCATTTTAAAGTTTATATAGAAGAGTGACAATTTAGATAGTAAGGATTGATGCGAATTACAGGGATTTAATTTACAAACTTTAGTGTATTAAAATGAATAGGTTTTTTTCCCAGTTCCAGTACCTTGGGTGACTCGATTCCATAGTCACCCAACAAAGATCAAGGCTCATCCAGATAAGCAGGTTATATTGAGAAGGTTTTGGAGAATGCATGAGAGATGTGTGACTCTCATCTTGTAAGAGTCCAGTTGTGATACTAGGAAACATAACCCTTTTGTAAAACAAGAAACAGTATTTTGAGCTCAAAAAGTTCTGAATCTACATGATACTTTACGTACAAACTTGGAATGGTTCGAATTTTTCCAGAGTACTTTCAGAATTTGTATAAGCAAACCACTTTTGCCAGTTAAAGAAATATTATGATATTTTACAATTTTTTTGCAAGATTTTACTTCCTTTGAAAAGAGACATTACCTTTCAGTAAGGCATTAGGATGGCAGTGGTAGTGGTGGAATGTATGTTTGTCTTTGAAGTTCATATTTCTGTGGTGTTTAGCAATGCATAATTAGCCATTCTTTTTATATTTTTAGGGCTCAAGTGAAGCTGGTTTATATGATACATTTTAGATTTAAAGAAAAATAATAGTGAAAACTGCCAACTGATTAGCCAGAATTATTTTTGAACAGCAGGAGCCCAGAACACATCCTGTCAAATGAAAAGTTTTATTCCAATTAAATTTCCAATTAATGTGCATCCTGTTGTCTCTTAGATATTGCCCCTGCCTGGACCGATAATTGTGGACCGCAAGGAAGGAAAATATCCCTAAATCCCTCTGTTCGCTTAAAGGCAGAAAAACTGGAAATGGTAAATACTTTACATTTCTACTTTTCTCTCATAAAACAACAAGAAGAAAGTATTTTCAGTCTTTGAGAAGATGAAGGACTGGAGCCGTTCCTTTCTTGAAGAATTATTTATTTGCAATTAATGAATGGCCGTTTGGGTTTAGATTATTCATCTTTAAATTGGATAGTTCATGTTGATCTACTAGTACTAAATTGATATAAGATCTTTTATAATTAAATTGACATTCAAATTAATGAGTTTCTTCTATGGAAATAGGCAAATCTGGTGTTCTACTATCTAAAACCAAAGAAAACATGGAATAAATTATGAAAAAGTATGTTAGGTTTCACATATGATAGCAATAAATGTAATGAAGTGATGTTGCCCTGTTCTAATTTTTCAAAAAATGTAAAGAGAAACTAAATCCTAAAAAACCACAATGTTCAGATACCCACTAAATAGAAAGAAGATGTAAGCAATGAACTACCCCAAGCTACTGCTGTCTAGCTGATTCCCACTCATAGTAACCCTATAGGGCTGTGAGTAGAACTGCTCTATAAGGTTTGCGATGCCATACATATTTAGAAAGCAGATGGTCACATCTTTCCTCAGAGCGGCCGGTGGGTTCAAACTGCCAATCTTTCTGTTAGCAGCTCAATGTTTAACCTGCTGTGCCACCAGGAATCTTTAAAGACCTTCCGGTGGTTAAAAAAGTGGAAAGATAGCAAAAAAATTTTTATCAGACTGCTAGTTAACAGGACAGATGTGCAATGTCATTTTTAATTTCAATGTATCTAATGCCACAGACCCACAACCTCTAAATTCCTGCCCATTCTGACTGAGGGCAAGGTTTGCAATCAATTGATAGTAACAGTTTCAAAAATAGAGTGAGGTTTGGAAATTACATATCTAAACATGAATAATTATTGCTATTTATTTTTATTGATTTAGCAACATTTCTAACTAACTGTTCCTCTGGACAAAGATAAAAATGTCTAGCTAATGACTTTACATGGCAGACTTTGTTTTTTTACTCTGTTATATTATTTCTAGCACATGATACTATTATTAGTCTGATTAATTTGCTTCAAGATATGAAAATGACCTGACTTTTCATTCTGAAAACTAAGACTTCCTTGACATTCAGTAAGAATTCCAATCTTTGGTTCTCCTCTTAACTAAAGTAAATTTCTACCTTACAGAAAAATAAAATGGCAGTTTTATAACAAAGGAAACTCACATACTGTACAAGCTCAGTTTCTCTGCTCATATTCCAGATATAATGACCCTTTAAGGAGTTCATTTTTTGTTTTCAGAGATGAAACAATATTTCACTCAAGAAGTTTTCTCCTAAAATTTAAATTAGATTTTATCTTCTCTTTTCTAAGCTACTCATCCTTTTTGCTACATATTGTATAACAAAATATGTAAAAGTTATACGTTAATATAATATCAATATCACATCAATTTAAAATACATTCTTCTATTTTCATTTTTATTTCTTTTGGAGACAGATTCAGTTTCATTATCTATTACATTTTTAGTATGTTTCCTATCCAGTAATACATTAGACCTGTGTGGTCAAGTCTTTAAAAATGAATTAAAATTATATTTTTTAATACCATTTTTTGACTTTTTACATTAGTGGTATGATATGATACACTATTTGTCCTTTTGTGATTGACTAATTTCACTCAGTGTAATGTCCTCCAGGTTCATCTGTGTTATGAGTTATTTCCCAGAGTGCTCATTATTCTTCAGCATTACATTGTGTACCAAGGTTTGTTTATCCAGTCTTTTATTGATGAGCATTTATTTAGGCTGTCTCCATCTTTTTGCTAATGTGAATAGTGCTCTGCATGTCTCTATTCATGTCATGGCTCTTATTTCTTGAGAATATATATAGCAAGTAGGATTACTGGGTCATGTGGTATTTCTGTTCCCAACTTTTTGAGGAAGTGTCATACCATTTTCAACAATGGTTGCACCATTTTACAGTCCCACCAGCAGTGTAAGAGGGTCCCAGTCTTTTCACACCCTCACCAATATTTGTTGTTTTCTATTTTGTTGACCTTTGCTCCTAATGCTGGTGTAAAGTGGGAGCTCATTGGTGTTTTGATTTGCATCTCATAGTGCTGTTGAGTAAGCTCTGGACTGCTATCTGCAGGGTCGGAAGTTCAAACCCACCAGCTGCTCCTGGAAACCCTATAATGGGTTGCTATGAGTCAGACCAACTCTGCAACACAACAACAATGGCTAACAACACAACAACAACAACAATGGCTAGTGAGCATTTCTTCATATATTTGTTTGGCCACCTGTATGTGTTCTTTTGTGAAGTGCTTGTCCATGTCCTCTGCACAATTTTTAATTGGATTAATTTGACTTTTTCTTGTTCAGGTGGTGAAGTTTTCTATAAATTTTAGAGATTAGTCCCTTGTCTAATACGTCATTGCCAAAAACTTTTTCACAGTCTGTGGGGTTCTCTTTTTTCTCTTTTGGTGAAATCTTTTGATACACCCAATTGGGTGTCTAGTTCTAGGGAAGTACCAGTCATCCCTCTGACTTCTACTCGGTGTGTTTTCAGTTCTGTTTGATAGTGTGCTTATACCGTGAATCAGCACCTGTTTGTCCTAACTTTTTCATTGATGATCTTTATAGTTTTAGGTTTTACATATAAATCTTTAATCCCCTGTTGAGTTCATTTTTGTATCTGTTGGGAGTTATTGGTCTTGCTTCATTCTTCTGCAAATGGATATCCAGTTTTGACAGTACCATTTGTTGAAGAGAATTATAATGTATTTTGTCCAAGATCAACTGACCGTATTTGAATGCATTTACTTCTGGGTTCTTTTTTCTGTTCCATTAATCTGTGTGTACCAGTATCAGGCTGTTTTGACTACTGTGATTGTGTAGTAGGTTTTGAAATCAGGAAGTGAGTGACCTCCTACTTTGTTTTCTTTAGTGTACTGCTTTGTTTATCTAGGGTCTCTTTTCATTCCATATAAAGTTAGTGCTTAGAGTTTTCATCTCTTTAAAGAATGGTGTTGGAATTGGATTGGGATTGCATTATACCTATAGTTCACTTTGGGTTGTATTGGCATTTTCACAATGTTAAGTCTTCTTATCCATCCATGAGTATGGTCTATTCTTGTATTATGTAGGTCTCTTGGTTTCTTGTAGCAATATTTTGAAGTTTATGTCGTATAGGTGTTTTGTTTCTCTACTTAGATTTATTCTTAGGTATTCCATCTTTTGAGTAGATATTGTAAATGATATTATTTTCTCTATTTCCTTTTCAGAGCTCTCTTTATTAGTGCAAAGGAACAGCACTGATTTTTGCATGTTAATCTTGTACCCTGCCACTTTGCTGAATCTTACAATGAGTTCTAATAATTTTCTCACTGAGTCTTGGGGATTTTTCTATACATAGGATCATACCATCTGCAAATAGAGAAAGTTCTAGTTCTTCTTTGACAGTTTGGATGCCTTTAATTTCTCTTTCTTTGTCTTGTGTATTATACACAGCATCTAGAAAATTGGTCTCATAATCAGGTTTCACAAGAAAAAGGTGTTGACTTACTATGTAGTTGTTTAACAGCGTACTCAGTACAAATTTTAAGGAAGACAGAGAATTTAGAATTTGATGAAGGAAATTGCCTATCAAGAGAATGACACATACATAAACACATGTTGGCATTGTTTTCATGAAAGCCTCTATATTAATTTGTCAAAACAAAGAATTTTATATCCAGATAGGCTGGAGAGTAATTTCTAACACTGAAATAGTCCTTTTTCAATTTCTTGTCTAAAAAGTGGACTTACCATTGCCTCTTCCAATGAATAATCTGAGAAAGATTTAATATGCAGATATTTAAAAATAATTTCACCATAGTTATTTGTAGTGATCTATTTTTTTTTTCCAAAGTAGTTTTACAAGTACTTTATCTTTCATATGATCCTAATGTTAAACTTTTAAACAAGCATGTTAAATAGGAATACAGTTTATTATTTGGCTTAAAAACAAAGAATTACTGCAAGTCTGCACTATTTGTATATTTGTACCTGAGAAAACTGCTTGGGATACAGATGCCATTTCGCTGATATTTACTTTACCTCTGCCATTTCTGTAACATTTAAAGAAAACTGTAGTGAGCAGTAACATACTCTGTGTCTGACTAGAGTTAATAAAATATTCTTTATATTCTGTTGGGAAGTGCGTGACTAGTGTTGTAAAGAAGTGACATTTTTTTTTTTTATTATTCATCATTCAAACATCAAAAATTACGGATAGTTCAATTGGAGTCTTGGTGTGGCGCTGTGGGTTAATGCGCTGGACTGCACAGTCATTTGAACCGCAAAGTTGGCAGTTTACACTCACCAGCACTTCCTCAGAAACCCTATACAGGGTCCCTATGGGTTTGGAACTGAATCGGCGGCACTAAGAATAATAGCAATATGTTTAAGGACCTCTGGTAGTGTAGTGGTTATGAGTCGGGCTGTTAACCTCAAGGTCAGCAGTTCAAAACTACCAGCTATTCCGTGGGAGAAAGATGAGGCTTTCTGTTCCTGTAAAAATTTACAGCCTCAGAAACTCTATGCAGGGTTGCTGAGTCAGAACCGACTCCACTACCACCACCACCACCACCATGTGTACATCTATCCACATATACTTTGTATATGTGTGATGTATATATACACATAAACACATGTTATATGGAGTCCTGCTGTAGTGCTGTACGATAAGCACTGGACTGCTAATCACACGGCTGGTTCAAATGTCATCCAGGGTCACTATGAGTCAAAACCAACTTGATGACACTTGACAACAAACATTATATATGAAGAGCTTTTAAAAACCTTGTCACAGAACATATTATAGACATTAAGCAAAGTATGACTATATTTTAAACTTAAATATATTCATGTTGTACTTCTTTATACATTAACCAAAGTGCTGGACTTGAAAAAAGTTAAGGTGATGGTAGAATCAAAAAGTTAATGCTTTATAGACAAGTATTCCATAAATAACCAACTTCCTTGGGCATCTAATGCTTCATTCTGGTCACTGTTCTTGCTACTGACTTTTTTCACTGGGTTGTAAAATGAAGCTGTAATGAAAAGTTTTGTTCTTTGGAGATTTGAAAACTGCTTCACACAAGCCCTTCTCCTTCCAGGCTCTCACTTATCTTGGTATTCAGCCCACGGAGGAGCAACACCAAGCCTTGAGACAGCAAGTGCAAGCAGATTCAAGAGGAACAGTGTCTTTTGGAGGTGATATTAGCGTCATCGTACACAGTTACTTCAGAAACTTGGTCAGAGACTTCTTGAGAGTTTTCGGAGAAAAAGAACAGTAATGCCACATCTATTCAGGTTCCTTAATCAGTTATCTAAAAACTCAGCTAGAAGTATTAGCTTAGCTGAGTCAGCTAAGATATCATCAATCTATCATCTTCTATCACATTTATACATATATAAATACCTCTTATTGTTGATAAGTGCTGTTGAGTCTGTTCTGACTCATAGAAAACCTTTATAGGGTTTCAATGGAGTTGCTGGTAGATTTGAATCTGACCTTCTGGTTAGCAGTCTAGTACTTATCATAAATATATATATATGTGTGTGTGTGTGTTGTTGTTGTTCTTGTTATTGTTGTTGTTATGTGCCATGCAGTCAGTTCCGACTCATAGTGACCCTGTACAGTGTATCCGAGACTGTAAATCTTTATGGGAGCAAAAAGCCTCATCTTTCTCCCATGGAACAGCTGGTAGTTTCAAACTGCTGACCCTGAGGTTAGCAGCCCAATTCGTAACTACTACGCTACCAGACCTCCTATATATATTTGTTGTTGTGAAGTGCTGTCAAGTCGGTTCCGACCAATAGCGACCCTGTATAGGGTTTCCAAGGAGCAGCTGGTGAGCTTGAACTGCCGAACTTGAAGTTCAAATGCTTTAACCCACAGCGCCACACCAGGACTCCTCCTATATATATGGGTCGTTGTTAAATGCAGATAAGTCAGTTCTGACTCATAGTGACCCTGTGTATAGTTTCCAAGGAGCGACTGGTGGATTTGAACCACCAACGTGTGGTTCAAACCAACCTTGCAATCTTGTGCCATATGCTGCAGAACCACACCAGGACTCCAATATACACATGTATATATATATATATATATATGTTGTTGTTGTTGTTGTTAAGTGCCGTCGAGTCGGTTCCGACCCATAGCGACCCTGTATAGGGTTTCCGAGGGTGTAAATCTTTACGGGAGTAGAAAGCCTCATCTTTCTCCCGCGGAGCAGCTGGTAGTTTTGTATATATACATATATAATATTCACACACACACACTGGTGCTCTGGGCTAATGCGTCAGACTGAAAAGTAGTTTGAGTAGTTTGAACTGCAAGGTCAGTGGTTCAAGCTCACCAGCTGCTCCTTGGAAACCCTATACAGGGTTGCTGCGGGTCAGAATTGACTCGACAGCACTTATCAACAACAACCAATTAGAAGAGATCCATATTTGTGCCCATTCCAAAGAAAAGTGAACTAACAGAATGGAGAAATCATAAAACAATATCATTAATATCATATGTAAGAAAAATTGTGCTGAAGATAATTCAGAAACTGTTGCAGCAATATGTTGACAGGGAGCTTCTAGAAATTCAAGCCAGATTCAGGAAAGAGTATGAAGTGAGGGATATCATTGCTGACATCCAATGGATCTTTACTGAAAGCAGAGAACACCAGAAAGATATTTACTTATGCTTTATTTACTATGCAAAGGTACTTGACGGTTTGCATCATAACAAACTGTGGATAACATTGCAAAGAATCAGTGTTCCAGACACTTTATTGTGTTCATGAGGAACATGTACATTGACAAAGAGACAATAGTTAGAACAAAACAAGGGGATAATGAAAGGTTTAAGATCAGGAAAGGTGTAGGTCAGGGATGTACACCATATTTATTCAACTTCTATATGCTTGAAAAAATAACCTAAGAAACTGGCTTATATGAAGACAAGCCTGGCATCAGGATTGGGGGAAGACTCATTAACAACCTGTGATATGCAACAACCTTGCTTGCTGAAAGCAGAGAAGACTTAAAATACTTATTAATGAGATGAAAGATCAGTGTGGGTTGTACCTCAATGTAAAGAAAACAAAAGTCCTCACCACTGGAATATTCCTCCAAGGAGCAGGTGAGCCTCGGAAATCCTGCACAGGGCCTCTATGGGTCAGAACTGACTCAACGGCACTTAACAACAACTAACACGTTTCCAAGCATGATGTCCTTCTCCAGGGACTGGTCCCTCTGGATAATATGTCCAAAGTGTGAGAGGTGAAGTCTTGACATTCTTGTTTCTAAGGAGATTTCTGGCTGTACTACTGCCAAGACAGATATGTTTTTTTATTTCTGGCAGTCAATGGTACTTTACATATTCTTTGCCAATAGCATAATTCAAATACGTTAATTCATCTGCAGCCTTCCTTATTCATTGTCCAACTTTCACATGCATATGAGGCTATTGAAAATACCATGCCTTGGGTCAGGCACACCTGAGACCTCAAACTAACATCTTTGCTCTTGGACACTTTAAAGAAGTCTTGTGCACCAGATTTGCGAAAGACCACCGACAAGATGGACTGGCACAGTGGCAGCAACAATGATCTAAAACATAACAATTCTGAAGATGGTGTACAGCCGGACTGGGTTTTGTTCTGTTGTGTATGTCTGTCTCTGTGAGATGGAATGGACTCAACACCATGTAACAACAACATATGTGTTATATGGTGTCGAGTCAGCTCCATCTCATAGAAACATATACACAACAAAACGAAACACCGTCCAATCATATTTATTATTGTTCTTGTTGTTAAGTGCCGTTGTGTCGGTTCCAACTCAGAGCCACCCTGTGTAGGGTTTACGAGGAGCAGCTGGTGAGTTTGAACCATGCAGTTCAAACCGACTTTGAGGTCAAGTGCTTAACCTATGGTGCCAGGACTCCAATCATCTATATACACACACACACACACACACACATATGGAGTACTTGTGTGGCGCTGTGGGTTAATGTGCTGTACTGCAAAGTCAGTTTAAACTGCAAGACTGGCGGTTCAAGCTCACCAGTTGCTCCTTGGAAACTGGATACAGGGTCGCTATGGGTCAGAACCAACTCGACAGCACTTAACAACAACAACTATATATACATATATACATACACACATATATATACTTAAATATATATATGGAGTCTTGTTGTGGCTCTGTGCTGGACTGTAAAGTTGGCTTAATCCACAAGGTCAACAGTTCAAGTTCACCAGCCACTCTTTGGAAACCCTATACGGTCGGTTCTGACCCATAGTGACAGGAGCGACTGGTGAGCTTGAACCACCAACCTTGCAGTTCAAACTGACTTTGCAGTCTAGTGCATTAACCCACAGCGATACACCAGGACTCCATATATATATATATGGTGCTCTGGTAGCGTAGTGGTTACGAATTGGGCTGCGAACCGGAAGGTCAGCAGTTCAAAACTACCAGCTGTTGCACGGGGAAAGATGAGGCTTTCTGCTCCTGTAAAGATTTACAGCCTCAGAAAGAAACCCTGTACAGGGTAGCTATGAGTCGGCACCGACTCCACGGCATATAACGACAACAACGTATATATTATATATACAGATCTATTGTATATTGTGTGTATATATGGTTGTTAGGTGATGCCGTCTAACAGAATGAACACCGCCTGCTCCTTCGCTAGTCTCATTGCTGTGTTTCAGTCCGTTATTATGGTCACTGTGTCAGTTTCACTTCTGTGACATTGATTCGAATCGTTTATTCACATAATATGACATAACATGTGTTGTTGTTAAGTGCCACTGATTCTGACTCATAGCGACCCTGTATAGGGTTTCCCAAGGAGCGGCTGGGGGTTTGAACCACAGAACTTGCAGTCCAAACCGACCTTGCAGTCTAACGCTTATCCTGCAGCACCACACCAGGACTCCTTTAGGGGACTTAATAAAGTTTGTGGAAATTTTCCAGTATCTTTTGATTCAATTCTTCCATAAAACTTTTTGACGTCTCCTCATATTTTTATGATAGCATTCATATTAAAGATAGCATAATAGAGTGCTAAGCTGACTTACTATATAGCATTAAGCTTTGTCAACTGTTGATAATTTTGATGGCTTCTCATTCACTGATAATATAAATTATTCTGTATTCTATATATCAATGTGAATGTAGCTTTCTTTTCTTCTTTTTAGGATAAATTCCTATAAGTGGTTAGGATTTTTTATATGTATTGTTTTCCAGAATCATTTTTGTTGTTGTTAAGTGCTGTTGAGTCAGTTTCTTAATGACCCTGTATAGGGTTTCCAACAAGTGACTGGTAGGTTTGAACTACCAACCTTGTTGTTAGCAGAACAGTGCTTATCCTACAGTGACAAACTAGGACTCCAGAGTCATTTTACACATGCATTTTTTTTCATTTTTCCCACTAGTAATGTTTGAAGATAACAATTTGATTATATGCTTTATTATTATAACACTGGGTTTTTTTTTTTTTTTCTTTACATAGCAGATGCCACATGATATTTTTAAAGCATTTGGATTTCTAACAAAAAGGAAATTCACCTTTGGTTTTGAAATGATGACCAAAAAGATAATGTTTCTTAAAGATCACTCCAGAATTGTACAAACAAGAAACACAAGTACATGTGGGATCAAAAACAATCCATGTGAGCAGAAAATACATGAGGAGAATAAATGAGTTAGTGAGCAGAAACAGTTAAAGCTGAAATCACTGAAATGATAGAAAGATTACAGTAGGGAACAAGCCAATGTGTCCCTGCCCTACATTAGAAGACATGTTAGAAGATGAGGTGGGATTGTTAGCAATCTGAATAAGAAGCAGTTTTGCACGTGCCATTCCCTGCCCCATCTCAGGCAGTCCAGCAGCTACTACTCCCTTCCACCTCCAGAGGAAAAGAAGTATATTCTTCCCTTGATAATTCGGGGCCCATGGTTGCCAGCAGCTAGGCTAGGGAACTTGGAGAAGTGTGCCATGAATCATCACTCACAACACATACCCAGATTGCTCAGTGAAATATGCAGCCATGTTTATAGCCTATCTGTAGGAAGGAACTTAACAGAAATGTCAGCTGGCCACCTGACTGCCCTGCAGTGACATCGCCAATGCAAAGGCAATTTATGGACAGAAACTTTGTTAGTGCCGTACTCTGAAATCTAAACTGATAGAAAAGGGTCACTAAGACATTTGGAGAAAATCTCCAACATAGATAATAGTGTCCAAAACTATCGAGCATGGAGAATCAAGAGAGAGAGAGAAATAATGCAGGAGAGACGAGTGCTTCCGACTAACTAGAATTTAAAAAGAGAATGCATCTATGAAATAAGAGTGGTTGGTTGGTGGTTGTGTGCTGTGGAGTCAGTTCTGATTCATAGTGATGCTGTATAAGGTTTCCAAGGCTGTAAATCTTTATAGGACCAGAAAATCTCACCTTTCTGCCATGGAGCACCTGGTAGATTCGAACTTCTGACCTTGTGATTATCAGCCCAGCTCATAATCCACTTCCAGGGCTTCTGAGTAGGGTGCTATAAAATAGGCAATCAAAGAACTTAAAAAAGGATCCTAGGAAATTAAAAATATAGTTTCCAAAGTAAAAAATGCAAGTGGCTATATGAAGACGCTCACGATTTTCTAGGACCCTAACAGTCAGTGCTGTATGATGATGTTAAAAGGATGATGGGATTTGGGATTAGACAGACCTTCATTGAAACCCCTGCTCTGCTTATTTTCTGAGTCATGGTGGGTTGCTTACCTACCCTGGCTTCTTGTTGTTGTTAAGTTCTATCGAGTCGGTTCCAACCCAGAGCAACCCTGTATAGGGTTTCCATGGAGCAACTGGTGAGTTTGAACCACCAATCTTGCAGTTGAAACCGACTTTTCAGTCCAGTGTATTAACCCACAGCACCATACTAGGACTCCTGGCTTAGCCCCAGTTTGTAAATTGGAGAGTGTAACCGGACCTCACTCATATTGTTGTAAGTATGAAATTACTAAACACTGTACCTGACATTAAAGCCTCTGGGTGGTACAGATGGTTTGTAGTCAGCTCCTACCCCAAAGTTCAAATCCACCCTTCAGAAGAAAAGCCTAGAAACCTACTTCCAACAGATCACAGCGCTACTTTGACACACATGAGTTGCAATCAACTCACCAGTAACAGGTTTGGTTTGGTTTGTGGTACTTGGCATGTTAAAAAAACAAAAACACAGAAAAACAATCCTTTACAGTGCAGTCAGTTCTGACTCGTAGTGACCCTCTCGGGAAGCATCAAACTGCACCAGAGGTTTCCAAGAGTCCAACCAGACATGTGCAGATATTCTCTACCATAAACTATACAGAATCAGCCTGCTACAGCTGTCTCTCATGGAATGGCCAATGGGTTTGAACCACCAACATTTTGGTAGCATTTTAACCACTGCACCAGGATGTTAAACATTCAGCACCACCTGTTGTTGTAAAGTTGATTCTGACTCATGTTGACCCCACGTGTGTCAAAGTCGAACTGTGGTCTATAGGGTTTTCCATGACTGGGTTTTTAGAAGTATTATCTCCAGGCCTTTATTAGGAGGCACTTCCAGGTCATCTTGAACTGTCAGCTTTTTGATTAGCAGCCAAGTATGTTAATCATGTGCACCATATAAACTTTGGTGGAGGGGGTCGTGTGCCATGGAGTCGGCTCCGACTCCTAGAGACCCTGTTTCTGAGGCTGTAAATCTTTACAGGAGCAGAAAGCCTCATCTTTCTCCTGAGGCAAGACTTCTAGATTTGAACTACTTACCTTGCGGTTAGCAGCCCAGCTCATACCCCATTTGGCTACAAGGGTTCCTTATAAAAACTGTAGCTGCTTTTATTATTATTATTAAACCTCAGATACTTCCAACTAGAAAAGCCTTAGTTTAATATTGTCATGTTACAGAAAAAAAGAGTTAGAGATATAGGATCTAGAGAATTAGATATGTCTATGACATGTATATGTTGGCGTAGTGGGTTACGTGTGGAGCTGCTGACCACAAGGTCAGCAGTTCAAGTCCACCAGATGTTGTGTGGGGAAAAGATGAGGCTTTCTGAGATTTACAGTCTCAGAAACCCTAAGGAGGGTCGTTATGAGTTGGAAGTGACTCGACAACACATAACTACCACCACCACTGGGACGTGTGTTTGCTCTGTAATTATCATAACTGATTTATAAACTTTAGTTAACCGAAGATAATAAGTTCAAACTAGTTGAACTCTTCTTATTTGAACTTACGTTTATCTGTCACCTCAGTCAATACCATTTTAAGGTAATTTATGTAAGTTAAACTTGACTGACTTTTGACATAGTATTAGTTATAACATAGTTTCAACTTCATGTAAGAAAGGTAACATTTATTTAGCTGAGGTTAAATGCTTTGTTCTTACTGAAATATGTTCCATTTTAGATTTTGTACAGGTTGCCAGAAATTTGTTTTGCTTGCAGTTGGAGGACATAAATGTTGGTGCACATGAAATTTCCAACATACTAGATTCACAGGTACGAGTACACCGCATGGCATTGCTTTGATCGCACTTAAATCACAAGTCTTGAATGTTATGTATCATATATGTAGACCTTTTTTTTTTTCACTGTTTGGTTTTGTCTTAGAAATTATACAAATAATATGTGCTTCTGTGTGTTGGCAAGCAGAATATTACAAAGAAAGTGTTATAAATTAATGTAATGACTACTTTGTTGTATTGACTAATTAATTCATCTCTTTTACTGCTAAGCATGTTGCCAATTGTAATCATCCAAAGTCCCCGCCGTTTAATAACTCTCGGGAGAGCACCAGCTTCTCTCAAAACTGAGACTCTGCTTTATGACAGGATTTGGTAGCATTTCCAGAAGGAGGAATAAAACTACAGGAGCCCTGTAGGCTTTCCGCCCTGCAGCTTTTATGCTGATTCAAGTGTTATGTACTTATCTACCTAATGTTGACAGCCTAGCTTGGGTTTTTTTCACTGCCAAACAGTCCTCAGAGCTGCCGTACCTAATTCTGATGAGGTGACTTGCAACATGCCAGAGAAGTGGGGAATTCAGAGTACTTTGGACAAGCACGCAAAGCTTCTTTAGCAGCTGCAAAGAGACCATCATGCTGTGTGTGTTAGTAATGTGCTTCCTTCCTACCAAAATGATTTAGGGCAGATAAGAGTATGTTCAATTTGTGATGCTTTGATAGCAAAAGCAAAGCGCTGATGGTAATTATGCAGTGTCTTTTACACACCAATTATTTCCTGTTTGTGGCTTTAGATCAAAATGTTTAGATCAAAATAGTGGTGGTATTTCATTTATAAGATTTTCTTTGTTGTATTCTGCTGGTGAACACTTACACAGATGTCCTCAGAAAGTACTAGGTTGGGTAGTTTGTTTGTGTCATTGAACTGGAATTCACACTAAGTACCTCACTGTAGTCACCTGTATAACTGAAACCTATCTCAGAGCACTGCTTGCTATTTCTACAAGCAGTGCCTTCATATTTAATATTTTTAAAATTAATCTCACCATCCACACCCCACGGTTCGAAAAACCTTATAAAAATTACTGTAAATATCAAACATATAAGGAATTTCTTAGGAGATGAGTGGCAAGTGACCTACCAAAAACATCAAAAATGCCTTGTTATTTTATAGTATAATTCTGAATCTATTGTTTTTTTGAGTTGAGAAGCAGCGTAGGGCATCATCTACCACCACATCACTTGATCTGCACTCGAGGATGCTGACCATCCGTGAGTGGGAAATTCCACTGTGGTTACCCTGCAACCTTCAGCATCACAAACAGCAGTCCACTTGTATCAGCATGCTGCTAAGGTTTCATGTCTTTTCACTCATATGTCTCCTTTTTGGTGAAACCAGAGGTGGCTAAATTGCCCTTTCTGTAGCTGATGTTTACATATATTTTCCCTAACATATGGAGTGCACATGGGGTCCTAGTGTGGCACTGTAGGATAAGCACTGGACTTCTAAACACACAGTCAATGATTCAAACCCACCAGCTGCTCCTTGGAAATCCGATACAGGGTTGCTATGGATGGGAACCGACTCAACAACACTGAAAACACCGTAGCATGTACATAATAAAGCACTGAAGTATCATGTGTACCACTTGATAAGTTTCCGTTGATCATATGAGTAATTGCAACTCAAAAACCCTTCCCGCCAACTTCCCAGTTACCACTAGTCTGACTTATGTAAATATAGACTGGTTTTGCCTATTTTGAACTTCCTCATAAATGGAATCACACTTACATACTCTTTTGCATGTAGTCTCTTTTGCTCATCATGTTGTCTGACTGAAAACATTTCTTGAGCTGCTCTCTGTTTAAATTGCTGAGATATAGGATAAGTCAGTCCTTATACTTTTGTATCCTTGACAAAGAAATCCTAGGTTTGGAAGAGCATGGCATTTTGAACCAAAGATATCATTATTCTACTGGGATTCTAATCACCATTGCTATATTAAAAAATTCCCACAGTGCGACACCTATTGCTGGCACATTCAGTAAAGGCAAGGTTGGCACTCACAGCAAGCACTGCTCCAAACAGCACCACGGACCTACCGGCTCAGTATCCTGGTTTTGCCAGACTGAGCAAATACCATGAATGGATTATGTTAAAACCATGATCAGCGAGAACATTGTAAATTCCCTAAATTTGGGTTTTCACTCACTGTTAAATCACTTTAATGGATTGCAACCACTATTTTAAAAACTGTAATAGACTAGAACGGGAAATTTTAAAGTGCATTATACATGTTAAGGTTGGATAATTTTTCACTGTACTGAATCACAATATAAATTATATTTCTCACTTTGTATAGCGGTAAAATAATAAAACTTTGATTGCCACTTCTCTGAAGTCTCCCTAGTAATCCAATAATCATTGTAAAAACACGTGCTTTATGTCACAAGGACCAAAATAATAACAGCACTTAGATAATTCAAACAAGATTCGTAATGGAGTTGGTATTTGAGCGAACTTTAGAGAAAAGTAGAATTATATCTTCTCAAGAGGTGAACTAGGAGTGATGAGAGTGTTGGAAATCTTTATTCTCTACTTATTATTTTATATTATACTTTTTCTATACTTTCTTTGGAGTCCTGGTGTGGTGCTGTAGGATAATGCACTGGACTGCACGATCAGTTTGAACTGCAAGGTGAGTTTGAACTCACCAGCCACTCCTCAGAAACAGGGTCTCTGTGAGTCGGAACCGACTCAACAGCACTTAACAGCAGCAGCAACAAAACACTTTCTTTGGAGTCTTATTGTGCTGGACTTCTAACCACAAAATCAGCAGTTCAAAGCCACCAGCAACTCCTTGGAAATCCTGTGCAGGATCACTATGAATTGGAACAGACTTGCTGGCACTAAACAGGAACAGCATAACTACCTTTAGCTCTATTATGTCTTCCCCATAGGAAGATGACGATCATTGGAGTTGGATTGTCATCTTTAATTAGATTGTTAATGTTTGTACCTTATAATTCAAATTGTCAAAGAAATCATACTAAAAATAAGGGAAATAGTCATCTCTGTTATTTTGTGTGTGTGACTGTGACTGTTCATTTGTGTATGAATTATTAATACTATCTTGTATCTACAGTTTTTGTGCAGAAATCTTTTTAAGCTACTTGGCTGTTACATTACATTTTGTTTGGTTAACACAAGACACCTAATCAATAAATCTTTTAAAGTGAATACACGTAAACCATTTTGGTTGGTAACTGTTCAACATTTTGTGAGTCTTTGGTACTGTGCACTGGAAGTGAATGTCTTAGGGAATATATGTGTTGATGACATCTAAAGTCTTTTTGATGACATAAAAAATTTTCAGTTTCGTTTAAGGAAATTATATTGTTAAAATAGAAAATAAAATTGTATTATTAAAAGAATTATAAAGATGACAAGAGTGTGTGTATACCTCATAATCATCTAAATTCTGTTGTAACAATGTAAGGTTATGCTTACATGAAAAAAAATGCCCTAGTTACTTTTATAATCTCTCTTATCTAATCAAATGACTATGAAGTAAGAAATTATATTTTGTTAATTAAAAGTCAAAAGCCTAATACAATTCAGAAAGGATTTTTGTGTTAGTTCTGATCATTAGCATCTAATGCATAACTTTTCTCTTATATTTTAATGTTGACAGCTTCTTCCCCGTGATCCTTTAGAAGCAGATGACTTGGAAAGGCTTAAGCGTGAAAGAAACAAAGCCGTGGAAGAAGTTGGCACACTTAAGGTAATCTCTAGTTTAGCCTCTTTGTATTTTCTAGAGGGGGGAGGAGGGGAAAATTATCCTGTCTTGAATTCTGAAGAATAAGTAGAATTATCTGAGAATAATTGGGACTTGGTTTTATTTTTAATTAGAGAATATTAAGATTAAATAGCTAAAATACAATAATCTTTTCAATGGGCCTTTAGAGAATTAATTTTCTAGTTCATACACTTAATATTTATAATTCTCCATACCCAAAAAGGCTTAGTGTGAATAATGGTTTTTGCTCATTCTTCTGATCTAGCTACTTCTCACTTCCTTTTTCATTTTTTTTTCTACATTGCTGGCATGGGCAGAATTAGATGGGGAGGCAACAAAGCAAGAGGTGGCAGTTTTGAATCCCTGATTTCCATTGGGAAATATATTTTCTCCCATTTTCAGAGGCATGCTTAAGAGATAGTGTGTTTGGGGAACATAATTTATAATTAAGTCAATATGATTTAAGAGAGGAAAAACTATGTATGCATATCCTAAATATGATCCAACATTTTGACTTTCTGTAGATATTTTTAATCTGTCTTTGTTGTTGATGGCCAACTCTTTGTTGTTGTTGTTGTAATTCTTAGTCACCCTGCATAGAGTTTATAAGGAGTGACTGGTGAGTTTGAACCGCCAACCTAGCAGTTCAAACCAACCTGTAGTCTAGTGCTTATCCTACAACACCACACTAGACCCCTGTGTCTTTAGTAGAATATTGTATTTAAGTAATATTATAAAGCCACATATTGTGTTGTTGTTAACTGCCATCGAGTTAGTGCCATTTCATATTGACCCTGTATAGGATTTTCAAGGAGAAGCTTGTGGGTTTGAACTGCAGATCTTGTGATTAGCAGTCCAGTGCTTATCCTGCAGTACTCCACCAGGACCACAAAAAGCCATATACTATTTTCCCAATCATCAAAAACAAACAATGGAATACTATACAGTGTTGAAGAGTACCGAATCTGTGAAATATTCCGTAACATGGATGAACATTATGTTGAGTGAAATTAGTCTATCACAAAAGGACAAATATCATATGAGCCTGCTATTGTAAAAAGTCACGAAAAGGTTTTCATGTGAAAAGAAGCTTTCTATGATGGTTATAGGAATGAGAGGGAACGGAGAATAATTCACTGTGTAGTCCTGGTATGGCACTGTTGGATAAGCAGTGGATTGCTCCGATAGCACAGTGGTTACGAATCGGGCTGGGAACTTCAAGGTCAGCAGTTCGAAACTACTAGCTGTTCCACAGGAGAAAGATGAGGCTTTCTGCTCCCATAAAGATTTACAGCCTCAGAAACCCTGTACAGGGTCTCTATGAGTCAGACACATAACAACAACAACAACAAACAAGATTGGTGGTTCAAACCCCCAGCTGCTCCTTGGAAACCCTATGTAAGGCTGCTAAGGGTCAGAACTGACTCAATGACACTTAACAACAATATCAGAGGATAAATATGTTACCTTGGGTGACAGGGAAGGTAATATACAAGAGGGAGGCTGACCGAAGAAGGATGAAGGGAGGGAAGGGCACAGGAAGGAGTAGTGCAAGGGTTAAAGGGCATAGAAGGACATACTATCAACTGATGATGCATGGAGGGAATTGTGGTCATTGGGGTGGACACAGTTTGTGATTTGTTGGATGTGAGGCTGGTAGTCTTCTTTGTAAGCCTTTACTCAATTCACAATAAAAAGTTATTTGAAAAGAAAACAGCAGTATGATCCCTTGATTTACCTTTCATTCTCCTTAGAAACAGATTTTTTTAAACTATTTTAGCTATGGTAATGTAGTGGTTACGAATTGGGCTGCTAAACTCTAGGTCAGCAGTTCGAAACTACCAGCTGTTCCGTAGGAGAAAGATGAGGCTTTCTGCTCCTGTAAAGATTTACATGCTCGGAAACCTTGTGCAGGGTCGCTATGAGTCGGAACCGACGTCATGGCACATAAAAACAACAACAACAAGCTATTTTGCTAAATAACTAAAACTGTTACTAAACTATTCAATTTTTATTAAATTAAAATCTTTGTAGCCACCTACCAACTCCAACTCCACTCCCCCCAAAATGTCCCTGCTATCTCAGTTTTCTACAGGAAACTATTACTAAAAATATCTTATTTTTCCTTTTAGAGAATCTGTCTACACAGCTAGTCATATTAAAATATGTGTATATATATATATGCATGTTTTAGCATTCACATAAATCACTTTATGAATTGAATACCTTTCTACAACTTGTCTAATTTTCCCCTTTTCGTTACTATTGAATCTTAGATGACTTAACAATCACTATATAGAGATTAGTACATATAGGTTTGTACTTTTTTTTTTTTTTTATCTTTTTATTGTGATTTGGATGAAAGTTTACAGAGCAAATTGGTTTTCCATTCAACACTTCATGCCTAATTTGTTTCATGACCTTGCTTGCAATCCTCACAAAGTCTCCACATTCCTAATAACTGTCTGCACATCCAGTGGTTCTGTCATAGGTCCTTTCTCCAGCTCTCTATTAATGGATATTTATTTCCATGTTTTCGTTTCAAAATAATCCTGCCATAAACAGCTTTCTCTTCAAGCAATTGTACAAGAATATCCACCGAATACACTTCTAAAAATGGAATTTTTTTATCAAAGAATATGGACACTTAAAAATTTGCATACACGTGACCACATTTTCTTTCAAAAGGCTGTATCAATTCACATTCCTTCCAAATGTAGATAAGCATTCTACTACTACAGGAATATACTTTGAAACCACTATCTTTCTGCATTTTTGGTGTAGCAATTAAGAGGGTAGATGGAAACTATAAATTTAGTTGTTTTTTTTTAAATTGACAATAGTTTCTTCATACCGTCTTTAAAACTTCTCCTGGCTCTGTGAGTTAATTAATGCCCTAGACTGAAAAGTCATTTTAAACTGCAAGGTCGGTAGTTCAAGCTAACCAGCTGTTCAGAACCAACTCAACGGCACTTAACAACAACGTAGCAATTACGCAGAAAGATATAATTTTTATGTAATTTATTTCTGCGTAACCATTAAATCTTGTGTTTCTTCAGGATTTTCAGAGGTTCTCAGATGTTTGTTCTGAAGATAATTGTTGTCAAACGCAGTGATGTGTTTCAGCTGTTTTGTTTGAATATCAATATTGCGTACTAGAATTTTTATTTACAGCTTTATAGGCCATACTCATGGAACATGTAAACAAGGATTCTCTGAGGACTCATCCAGTAAATCAGGACTAACGTCTAAAGTTCATGAAGTAGAGTGAACGTATGCTAATGTGACAGCCTGAAATCATGGTTTAAACATGTTCAAAGCATACCTGTTGTTGTTAGGTGCCATCAAGTGGGTACTGACTCATAGTGACCTTATGCACAACAGAAGAAAACACTGCCCGATCCT